TAGACAATATTAGCTCTAACAGTGGACTGTATACTTTTAAATGTTGTGCTCATTCCAACATGTTATTTGACTTCTGTGAAATGGCAACCTCTTCAAGACTCATTTGATTCATCTATACTGCTGAGTTCCTAATTTACATCAGTAACTTGCTTCTATGTCAGGCTCTCAAAGGTGTAAAGTTCAAAAGAATAACATCAAATTCTTAAGGGTCTGTGATAATTCTAGATATATGCAAAGGTAAAATGGCTTCTTAGACGCTATCAAAATCCTAAATTAGGGAGCTGGGCTTCCTGACAAGCAATGGTTTTTCCTCTTGTGAATGTGCAGTTTGGAGCAGATAATTCATTATCTTCTTCAAAACAGTGTAGTAATAATAACTAAGGCACAGGATATTTATGAGGGTAAAATAAATTGATACTTGTCAACATTTAAAGCAATACCTGGGACCCAGCAGAAACTCAGAAAGTATTGTCTCTTATTTTTATTATGTTCATTCTTAAAATTATCCCTGCCTTAAAGAAAAAACCCCTGCTGTATCCAATTACTCTGTTTTGATTGTTACTAGTCCAAGTTACTGAATTGAGGGAAAAATAAGACAACATCAACAGCAGTTCATTTTTAGGATATGCCAGATGAGGAATCAAACAGAGATTTGACCTAGTGCATTCATTGTTTCCGATGTGAACATAGAAGTCTGCATATCTGGATGCCACTTGAATGTTTGTATGTCTGGATGCCATTTGAATGTCTATCTGATGTAAGTTCTTAGAAGGAAGCTCTTGAGTGCTCTGCATAGTGTAAAGTACAGTGTGTATTGGGCACAAGAATTTAACGGTGTAATAGCACCGTCTGGTTAAGGTTACTTAATGATTCATTATTGTAATAATGGCAATTATAGTAACCATGCTTAAAACTTTTTAGAACTGTACTATGCAGAAGGGAGGAAATATAAATATTTCATACAATGGAACTGTACGCAATGATACATAAGTTACCAATAAGGAATTGTAGTGCAAAAGGAACCTTAAAATATTACCATTCTTTTTAATTATAACCAAACAATGCTGCTTAAATTTTCCCAGTCTCTCAGAGTATGTATGTTTCCAAAGCACAAATTTATTGTTACATAAATCCTTCTTGAAAGAATCTAAATATAACAAATCTCATTTTTCCTGATTGTCATAGAGTTAAACAAACTAGAAAACAAATCACAAAACAACAACAACAACAAAAATCACAGAAAAACATACCTTTGAGAATGGAAAGGCAAGCCACAGATGGAAGAAGATATTTGCAATGCATATCCCTACCAACGAAGAACTCACACCAGGACTATAAAAAGAACTGTTACAATGGAAAAATCAGAGAAAACTCTTGACTGGACACTTTACCAAATAGGACACCTATCTGACCAATAATGAGCATAACAATATTAATCATTGGGCAAATGTAAAATTAAACCACTGCCCAAACCACCACACGATCGATTACTTGCAGTTTCCAGAAGCCTGGGAACCAGCCAGAAAGACTCGGTAGGGACCAACATGATCGCCCAAAGAGGTTCTGTAGGATTCTTACCTTCCTTCTTCCTCTTCCTCCTCCTCCCGCTAAGGAGGCTAATGGCTAAAATTATGATATCAAACTCTGTCAGAGAGGCACAACTACTGAAACTTCACATGTTACTGCTTTGTAAGAAAATGTGCAATCATTTTAGAAAATTTTGGCAGTGTCTACTAAACTATTGGGTTGGCCAAAAAGTCTGTTTAGTTTCTTGCCATAAAATAAAAGACACATTTTTTCATTTTTCATCAATAACTTTATTAATTTGGATATTTTGAGTATATCGGCTAACACCTGCATGGTATACTGTATTCAATTGTTGATTGTACTCAATTAATGTCTCAATTTGATTGCTATCAACTTCAACTGGACTGTCTGACTATGGAGCATTGGTCCAGGGAGAAATCTCCAGCATGAAACTTCACAAACCACTTTTGATACGTTTCATCATATAATCAGTCACAGTACCTTCTCCGTATGATGTATAAATCATTTTTTTGTGTTTCACTTGAATTTCTACCTTTCTTGAAATAATAAAGCATAATATGCTGAAAATGTTGCTTATTTTCTTCCATCTTCAGTTTTAAAATGGCTACACAAAAATTCACTGATTTTGACAAGCTGTTTTTTCTTAAAGATTTTATTTATTATTTTTAGAGACAGGGGAAGGGAGGTAGAAAGAGAAGGAGAGAAACATCAATGTGTGGTTGCCTCTTGCGTACTCCCTGTTGGTGACCTGGCCCGCCACCCAGGCATGTGCCCTGACCAAGAATCAAACTGGCAATTCATAGGCCAGCACTCAAACCACTGAGCCACACCAGCCAGGGCTGCTAAGTTTTTTTTTTTTAAATACACACTGATATGACAACTTTCACAATACAATCTCACAAAATTGTTTCAAGTGAAGTGAAAGACAACTAAGCGCTACTAGAACCATCGTACAGAAAAAAGCAAACGAACTTTTTGGCCAGTCCAATAAATATATGCTTATCTGGTTACCTAGCAGTTCCAACATATTCAAAAGGAAGCAGTGCATGAACCACTTCAAAATGCTCATAACAGGTTGATTTGATTAGCCTAAAACTGGAAACAGCGTGCTTGTCGTGAAGAGCGCGGTGCATAAATTGTGGCCAAGTTACAAATGAAATGCAACCTGAAATAGCAAAAGGAGGAAGAGGCAAAGGAGTTTCTGTCTTACTACATTTTTCCTATCAAATATTTGCTGGGACTCAGTGTCAATCAGCTAGTATTTTCATGGAAATAAAAATTTCCGAGGGAAAGAAAATGAGTTGTTTCCTTCAAGCCATAGCAATAATGTGAAATTCTCTCCGCAGTGTTATAATCAGGGTGTTCCCAGCGCCCTTGAATGTCCATTGTATCATAGAAAAATTAGCCACGTGGGCAAACACCAGTCTTACTGTCTGTAAAATATACTTTCAAATGTCTTCAAAAATAAAAGATGAGAAAACAAGGAAAAGAAAAATGTGTACGGTTCAAATTAAAGAACATAGATGAAAGGAGTCTCTTTATTATTTTTGTTTGAAAACTGTCACTTTTCTCTGCAATTTGACCTATTTTCAGTTTTCCCCACCACATCCTTCTATGTAATTTTACATGTGGAATCATTACCTTCCAAACAATCAATCCAGTCATTTTAATGGTATACCTTAGTCTTCTTTTAACTCCATTTCACCTTTTATCTTCATGTGGTTTTTCTGTAGAAGTATTAATAGTAAGAAGCATATTTTTTATACACATAACACTTTTTTTCTCAAGTTAGATGCTGGAGCAAGCATTCCAAGAGTGTTAAGTAACCACTTCCAACTGGAGCAAACTAAGCTTTGCAAACACTTTTTTCCACGTAATACTTCTAGTCCTCCTCCTTTCTTCTTTCCCTTCTTTTTTCCTTCCTTCCACCCACTCACACAGGCACGCGTGTCTACGGAGCACTTACGAGGTGCCTCCCCTTGTCAGAACCCCCTACGCCCACCCCAGCTTCTTCAGCACTAGGCACCTCCGACCACAGGTTGCCCTGGATACAGCCACCCATGGCGTCAACTCGTGGGCTTGGATGTTGCCGCCCCAAGTGCCACGTGTAAAGCTGTTCTCTGATTTTTGTTGCTATCTTCATTGACTGGTTCTTGCTGCTGATTTTTAAATACAAGCCTCCATGAAGCTCCACTATCAGAGACGCTTCCCTGCTCTGCTAAACTCACGAGACATTGTTGAGGAGGAAAGATCTTCTTCCCCACGATGGACCCACATTTTTGGCCTGCTGTATAAGCTGGGATTTTTGAAAATCTAACCCAGGGTCATGTCAGGTCATTTTGTGAAGCAACAGTGGAGAAACTGTCTTTCCTGGTCTTGGAATCCGCACTTTTGTATCACTTGTTTCCCCAGAGCAGGGGATTCAGATCCCGGGGTCTGTTGATGCCTCCATTTCTGTGTTGCTCTCTTCCCACGTCTTCACTGAGGTTGCTTCAGCTACTGCATGAAGCAAGCAAGGTCAGAAATTCAGATCCCACCCTTTTCTTTTGGGGGCTCATTGGAGAAGAAATTTCTGACAAATGGCATTGTGGTAAATTTTAGATTCCCATTGTTTATTCTGTTACATGTCTGACTTGCAAGAGTAAAAGCGGTCAGTCCCCTAACCCTATTTGGTTCAGAGACATGTGAAATCTGGACCAGAATCCACAAAATGAAATTAAACATGTCGATCTCCTAACTTGGACTTGGCCTGCCCAGAAACAACACAGGCAAGTCAGGAGAGGTGGGATCCGACCCTCCCCAGTCCGAGACTTCCAGTGGAAACAGGAGAGGCTTTGAAAGGGTAACGTTCTGATCTAGCCTAGAAACACATCAATGTAGAATTAGAGGTTAGAGTTAGAGACGCCTTTAAGTAACCCTACTCTGCACTCTCCGTTGTTCTCACTCTAATGTAATGACGTTAAGGGAAGAGATCAAAGTGCTGTTGTCTGGCAGCGGCCCTTGCTCCCTGCTAGCAGGTGTGAGTTAGATTGTCCAACACAATGGAGCCCAGAGCAATAGTAATATAGCCAATAAGAAACGACGTAGCTTCTGTTCTTCGTAAAAAAAAGTAAAGGAGACTAAAATTCCTCCCCATTTTAGAAGTTCTAATTTTATATAAAGAATAAAAAATGCAAAGTTATAGAAGTCAAGACTTCTTTATGGTTATTTATGATGAACTGAATGTTTAATATATGCCTGTACTACACTAGGAGCTGCAAATACGAAATTCCAACACAGAAATAAAACAAGCCCTGGCTTTGCAGAGATATGTAGATTATTAGACTTTTTGTATTTTTGGTTCTGAGTTTCAGTTGCCATGCTATGCTATATATGTATTTAATTTCAGTCCATGTGTGCTCCCTGCTATGAATAAACCCTCTCCTACTGTTTGTTTACCCTTCCACTTTTAGGAGATCGTCAACTTCAACTGCCGGAAACTGGTGGCCACTATGCCTCTTTTTGCTAATGCCGATCCTAATTTTGTGACTGCCATGCTGAGCAAGCTGAGATTTGAGGTGTTCCAGCCGGGAGATTACATCATACGAGAAGGAGCTGTGGGTAAAAAAATGTATTTCATTCAGCACGGCGTCGCTGGGGTCATCACGAAATCCAGCAAGGAGATGAAGCTGACCGACGGCTCTTACTTTGGAGGTGAGTAAGGAGACAGGCGGCCGAAGCGGCGGGATGTTGCTCGCATTATGTCTTCATTCGAATTCTGGAGAGGTCCGAATGTTCTTTGTTGGTTCTGATGAGAAATTCACCTTTGAATTCTTATTAAAAGTGGCTCTAATGGTATGTTTCACCTATCAGGCCTTGTCGAGCTTCATGTTTAACTACTCTTCAACACCAAACGAGCTGAGCGTTTTCTTTAGAAAAAGGCGAGACGTTTGCCTTCGTCTGTCTGCAGGTTCATGCTATGGGAGGGAATTCAAGCGAGACTCTTTTCTCCTCGTCGGAGAGGAACCGGCAGTGCTCTTTGCTAAGGGGTCCTTCTCGCTTCGTATTCATCCTTTGCAGACTACGATTTCCCAGCTCCTTTGAAGGCTTCTCCGTCAGAATCCATGTGTCCGTCGCAACTCTGAGAATCCATAGAACTGCTCATGGCTTTCCAGGCGCCGGGTCTCAGTCCACCTCGTGCCAACATTAATAGGCAGTTACCTGTCTTCCTTCAGATGTTAGAGGGCAAGCAATGAGACGCTGTTTCAAGTCAAAGATGCTCAGGCCCCAGTTCTCAGACACGTTTTTGTTTGCTTGTTTATTAGTGAATAATCAACCAGTATATCTTGTCCCCTAAAAATCAGTACTGATAAAAAGAAAGTATTCAAATCAAATTAATAGGAATTGAGAACCAGTCAATGAATTGCATTTTGTGATATAATAATAATCACAGTTATTCTTATAACCTGAGTTTAAGAAGTTTTCTTCAATAATAGCTAAAAATATTTATTAGAACAAGTTTATAATTATATTAAATGTTTTTTGTGGAATATCAAAATAACCATAAGGTTCTTATTTATCCACCTATTGCTGAGTAAAACGTGCAACTCAAAAAGTTATTTTCTTTGACTTTCCTCTCACCCATTGAGGACCATTTTGAAGTTTGCATCTTTTCCTGTCTTCACATTCTTCTTCCTTGTCCTGGTTCTGTGTTGCTCATCAGCCCCTTGGCCTTTTGTGAAGATTGTGCTATGAAAAAGGAGAATATTAGGAATATCTAACAATCTATGAAGGGGTCTACTTTAGAAAAGCACAGAGAAGTAAAGTTTGAATGAAGAAGAGAGAGCAATTGAAAACTATGTAGCAGAAAATAGAAGGCGATCACATGAGCCTTGTTTGGCACAGGTACTTGGGAGGTAAAACCTTTTTGTGGTAGTTAAGGGTGTGATACACATGAAAAGAAAAGTTCAGAAAGAAATTTCTGGACATTTTATTAATGTATTAAGAATGTATTTCCACATTTGACATAAATTTTGTATATTCAAAGAGCCTTTACTTACTATACAGTATGCTTGCTAATATGAGTAAGCTTTTATACAAAGTTTGGAATATTTGCTGTTTCAGATTTATGTGGGGTAAACTACCAGTAAAGGCAATTCCATTAGTGAATGTCCTTGTGTTTGTAAGATATTTTGGGGGATAAAAGCTACTTTATCCTAACATATTATTTCTTCAACACATCGTAGTATCTCTGTCTACCAGTGAGATGAGTCTGTAATTGTGTCATTATGTTGTTTATTTTTGGGATCCCCTCTTGACTTTGCATATCAGGTTTTCCTCCCTTCTGAAAAGAGTAAGGAATCTTTTTTAAAAATGTATTCTCTATTTCAGGGAAATTTAACCAATGCGTGTTTACACACACACTTGATATTTATGTGATTTAGACACCAAGGAAGGTAATGAAAGACAGGCTCTACTAATAATAAATGGTAGTTAGCATGCGGGGGTTTAGTCTTCATGACTCTTTCAGTATCTAATATGAAACTGCAATTAAAGAGCAGAGCTGTGTATTGTACTAATTTTGTATTTGTGTAAACTGAGCATGGCGAGTCCAGAGGACAGTTAAGCAGAAAAGCCAGGGATCTGCTGAGGAATGTTCTTTCCACTTCTAAAATGTCTGAATCAACTAAATGTAATCCGTGCACAAAACACACTTCAAAATAGGGAGATAAGGAGACTCATTCAAAGAGAGATCAAATTCAGAGTTTTGTATTCTGTGCCTAACTTGACTGTTTCTACAATAACAGAGAATGAGATTGTGAGATTAATGTAGTTTTTGTAACTCAGAGAGGTTTCAGTGGCTGTTTCCCCCTTTTGTGTGGAGCTTGGAGCGAGCGTGCTAGGCCGGCGCGCGGCCCACAGCGTGCGGTGCTCCGCAGTTTGGATCTGGTGGGGAGCGCAGGAAAACAAGCCTGCCCTGAGTGCCTACTGTGTGCTGGGCACGCCTCTCAGCCCTGGGGTACAGCATGGCGTGAAACAGGCTGAACTGTCCAGTCACGGAGTTTATGTTTAGTGGGTACTTACACTTTAGCAAGAAGAACGTAATAAAGAAACCTAGAAATTGCTGAAATGCTAACTGACATTATCAGACGGCAGTCCATGTTTCAGGGGAGACAAGCGCAGGGAAGAAGGGTAAACGATGCCCCCCGCCAACCCTGTCCACAGGGCCAGGTGGAGAGTAGAGCTCAGGCAGGTGTCCGGGCTTCCTGCGGAGAGTGATGCTGAGTGGGATCCCGTGGCATCTGCTGAGACCGGTCCTCACGGCTCAGGCAGGTGATGGGGACGCACTGAGTTTGGGTACTAGTGGAGTAGGGTTTTGCCTGGAGGAGACAGTTCCTAGACTCTTTCTTGACTTCTCCCCTTTTGCATATGAGGAAAATGAGCCTCAGAGAAGATGAACAACCTGGCCTAGGCCCTGTAGATGAAAAAGGACAAAGCGAGGTTTCAGACAGCCGTGAACTTGAACCCACAACCTGTGCTTAGTCCACTGTGCCTCACTCCCTCCTAAGAGAGGGCATGTTGATCCTCAGGGTGTTTACGTTACACATTAGCTAAGCCTTAGCTTCTCTTCTTAGCTTTTTTATAATTAAAGAGGCAGGCCATACATTGAACCTAATAACATAAAATCCTGTGAGGCAAGTATACTCTTATCTTTATGTCTCATTCTAACTCATGTACTTAATTTTAAAAACAAATGGGTCTTTACCCAGTTCTCTTCAAAGCCAGCCATGGGTCTTTCACACATGCATTTGTTAAACTGTTTTATAATCTATTCATACGGTCTGCCTGGCTCTCCTATTAATCACATTATCAATTTATTATCCACTAAGATCAAATGCCATTAATGTAACTCATTAAAATTTCAAATGCTGTATTTTTGTATTCAGTAGTTCATAATTTTCTAGAAATGTTCTGTTTTTCTAACGTAACATGTTATATCTCTATCTTCTCACCCCTTGGCAGGCGTTTTTCTTTCCACACCAAAGTATTCTAATTAGTTGAGTCTCTTGACTGCCCTTCTTGCAAAATGGCTGTCCTGCAGTTCTTCTGAAGGTGCAGTAATGCGAAGCAAGCCTAGTAGAAGGAGCCTCCGTCCCGCGACGGCTGCCGTTATAAATCATTTGGTATTAAATGCTGCCTAACCGTCTCTCACATTTTGCCAGCCTCCAGGAGTCTGCCAGGAACTGTATAGCTAATGTGCATATTTAGGATTTTTATGACCAAAATGCATTTGACCAGATATGGATCACCTGGCATTTTAAAGTTTAGAGCTACAGATTTGACAGACCAGACAGGCCAACCCTGCCATGGTGGCTGTTATTTGTTAGTAAGAGACCGAGCACCTGCCAGTCCCTAGTTGACAGGTCCCTTCATCCCCAGTACATCGTATGTTTCCAAAAGCTGATGTTGATTTTCCAGGAGGTGTGAGAAAGCTCTTGATGGTAAAGTCACAACTTGATTAGCTCAATGCTCCCATTGTATTTATGAGGAAGAGGAGGCGGCAGCAGAGAGACACGATGAATCAGAGATAGTCGTTGCTTTCTTCCTCTTCCTCACCTGCTCTGTCCTGACACCAGGCTAATGAAATATTTGTTTCAATACCGTTAAGTCCATTCTGACGGATCTTTTTCCAGATGGTAGCCCACCTACAAATACCAGATAATGTGCAAGCACAGGCTGAAGCTTAGCGAGGTTACGGGTGGGAGAGATGTTAGGCCCCATCTGCACCTTGACCTCGCCACTCTAGGATTCCGTAAAGTCACGTATAAACGTGTCAGTGTATAGCAAAGGATTAAATCCAAATGCCTGAGACAATTAGGAAAATCCGGATGGACATGAAGACAACATTTTATTTTGAAGCCATCATGTCTTCTCTCCTTAATAAAATAGAAAAAGAGGAAGAGAAATGAAAAGGAGGAGAAAATGGAAAAGTCCTTGTCACAATTCTTGGTCTTCTTATATTCCTGTAGTTTTCACCTGGACCATGTTTGTGCTTTTTTATAATTAAAGAGGCAGGCCATACATTGAACCTAATAACATAAAATCCTGTGAGGCAAGTATACTCTTATCTTTATGTCTCATTCTAACTCATGCACTTAATTTTAAAAACAAATGGGCCTTTACCCAGTTCTTCAATCAATATCTATCAAAAACAGTAGAAAGTTATTTTAGTGTAAAGTACAGGATTTTACAGCCAGCTGAAACAGGCCTGGCAGGTTATGATTCACTTCAGAATACAAAATTGTCTGAATACCTTTTAAAATGTTCTTTTTCTTTTGAAAACAAATTGCTACATTTTAATTACCAATACTCTTCGGTATTGACATTTTACTTGTGTTGTTCAGATGCTGACTTTTGTAATGATAAACTTTGTGTATGTTATTGAAGCAATTCCTGGTAATAAAGAACAGATGGAAGATTTTTTTTTTCCGTTGTGTATGCATAGCTATGGAGTGGGGTGAAAAGCAAGGTTTTCTATCAAGCAGAGCTGGAGGAAAAACTTTTTAGGCAGCATATACAAGTACATTACTAATAAGAATAGTCTGAGAGAAAACCGTCTCGCAGATGGATGTTTTCTTCAGGCTTCTTCTTGCAGTTGCTCTGTGCTAGTGATCTGAGAATCCGCAGTGGGCCCCTGAGTCTGAAGCTCAGAT